CGACGAAGCGAGGCGACCACGACGCAATCTGCAGCGGACGACATACTGGCGGTTCCCCGGAGTGGCGACGAGGGCGAACGGCTTCACCGGTGCGATGCTCGTGCTGTACGTCCTTGGGCGACACCCGTCGCACGGCTACGAATACTCTGCCGCGCCGCTGGAGGAGGCAGCGCAGTGGCACGATGTGGTTGCGCTGCCAATGAAAGAGGGCCGTGTATCTCCAGGAAAAAAGGTGGGCGTTCGTGGAGCAATTGGGACTGAGGCGGAGATTGGTATGAGCCAAAAGGTGTACATGTGGTTTGACCTTGCGCTCCGCCTTTTCCCGACAGCGGGGTACATCGCCAAGGGCGATGACGACATTTTTCTCCGTGTGCCGCTGTTCGTTGCTCACCTGCGCCTCCTGCCGCGCCGAGGGATGTACATGGGAGGCCACGTGGGTCTTGCGACTTTTGTGAAAAGGGGTTTACCAGGTAGCACATTTATGGTTGGCTGGTGCTACACCTTGTCGAGGGATGTGGCGGAGGCGTTGGTTTCGTACAAGCCGCTGCGGCGCCTGGCGTACCTACCGTACAGCAAGGAACGTGAGGAGGAGTTTGCACTGCTCCGGTTTCATTGCGAGGATATCATGGTCGGGTGGGTTCTCGATAGGGTAATAAAGTACCAGCCAATGATATACGTCAAGGTACTGTCCTGCCATTTCCATGACGCCCGTAATGGCACGGGGCACTCACAGGTGGTGCCGACCTCGATGTGTATCCATCACGTGCGGGAGGACGACTACGCAGCGCTGATGGCGCGCTTTGGCAACGACACATCGCCTGCCGCCCGTGTGTCACGGGTCTCAGAGGACGTAATATATCCCGTGTGCGATTGATATATGAAGGAGATGCTTTTTTATTTACTCTGAATGTATTGTCTAATTATTTGGTGTGTCCCAGGTGATTCTCTATGTACTTTGCGGCCGAATGACGTGAACTGTGTCATTGACCGCCCCGTGCCGCTCCCTGCCCTCGACCCGCGTGCGGAGCGCTGTGGTGGAGGCAGTGGGTGCCCGTTGTGTTGGGCTGCTGACGAGCCTCCGCTGGGAGCACGTGGCGTGGACGTGAGTGCGCGGGCCGGGCCACCAATGAACAATGTATATGGTTTTGTTTTTTTCTCATATTATTATACCGTTTATTTGCGGTTGGGAGGACTTGGGGCTGTTTTCTCGTGCGTTCGTGTGGTGTCTTTGTGAACGGGGCGCCTCACGGTGCGACTGCTGCCAGTGCTGGTGGTGAGGCTCCCGGCGTGTGTGGGAGGAGGGAGCGTGCCGTGACGCTCGCCCCGTCGCCGATGCGCCGAGCGGGCGGGACAACGCCAGTGGCCCACGGCCCCTTGCTTGTTGACGACGCGGCTGTCCTTTTTTTTCACTGCTTTTTTTTTCTTGTAGAAGGCTGCACAGTGTAGGGGCGGCGCGGGCGGACGGGAAGCAGACGACGGTTGGACTCGCTGGTGGGCGGCGGGCTTGCGGCGGCTTTCTGCGTTGCGGTGGAACACCGCCGGCCTCACCCTGCCAAAACTTATAGCGCGGAGCATGAAGTGATATGACGAGGACGTGTTTTTTTGTGTGATGAGCGGGAGAAAGATGTCCCCCACCCTGAAGTCACTATTTTCTGCTTGCCGGGTTCCAGCACCACGGGACTGCTCGCAACTGTCGTGGCGGTGATGTGCCCATTCTTGTCCGTGAGGGGCCACAGGCGGTGGCAGGACCGGCCCCTGTCGCCCGCATCGAGCTGGCGCAAGCGACCATCCGTCCAGCGGCGGGAAGTAACATGATGGCGTCATCAGCATGTCTTCTTCCCTCCTCTGCAAAGAGCACGACGGCGGAGGACTTGGATGGGCAGCTCTGTGCGGACGGGCCACAGCTAATGGACGCCGACGTCGAGGCACACACGGAGGCTTGGGACCGCAACATCCCATCAGACTCCCGTGGCGATACCATTGCGCGGCGGTGCATTGAGAATGCACTCCAGGCCGCCAACAGCGGAGAGTGCACGAGGTTCACCGAGCGACAGGGCAGCACAGCACCCGACACCGCCCTTTCGAAGGATTGTGTCGTCACCCATTGGCCGAACAGCTCTCACTGGGCAGCGATCACTGCATCATTCTCCTTGATGTTCCGATCGGGGACGACGACACACCCACCGTGGTGCTGGGGCCTAACCGGAAATTATTAGCATGGAAGAAGGCGGATTGGAATAAGCCCGGCGAAGTGTTCAGCCAGCTCTGCAGAATCCCACGAGAATTAACCAAAATGTGCAGCACGGAGAAGCGCGTTGTACTAGGAACGCGGAGAGCCACCAGGGCAACGGTCCCGGAATGGAATCGCCAGCCGTCCCCATCCTGGACTCCATGGCTGGCGGAATTGGACCGCGCCATCGCCGCCGCACCACACGCAGAAGGCGGTCAGCGGCGGGAACTCCGTCGCAGGGAAGCGCTGCGCGAAGCATCCGAAAGCCGCTGGCACACGCTCCGCTCTGAGCTCGAGGGCACGGACGGCAACAGGCAGCAGGTAGTACGCCCGTGCTTAAGCCCCTCGTTCCTTGAGCACGCCAGCCATGAATTTCGATGGCCCAATGCTCAGCAGACACCTGAAGGTCAGCCACCGCATGAAGCTGTAGGCGACGAAAGCAACACGGCACCCAAAGCCCCACCCTCCGCCACCGATCCCGACGAATGCGATGGACCTCACCCAATAAATATGGCGGATCCCGGCCGCACCATACGGCTGTTGCTCTTGGGACCGGCGCCTGGTCCCGACGGAATAAATGGAGAGGCACTGCGCCATCTAGGCCGTGTGGCGAGGTGTGCCGTTCCCTGGCTGTTTGATATCCGCCTACGTGCAGGGGCCGTCCCGCGGAATTGGCAACGCGGGGCTGTGCTACTCCTCCCCAATCCGGAGAGAACGGCATCCAACCGCGACTCCCCACCGACCTGTAACGCTGAGCAGCTGCCTCAGCAAGCTCATGGAACGCACCCCCGCCGCACGCATCCGGGACGTCATCGACTCCCAGTTGGCTCTGCAGTCATCTGGCTTTTTGCCGGGCAATCCCACCCCCGACCAATTGCTGCACCTCAGGGCTGCCATGCATCGCAATGCTTCACAACACCGCACGGCGGCTTACTTTGTGGACCACGCCAATGCCTTTGGCACGGTGGGCCCTGACGCGGTAATCTTGGAAGTGCGGCGACTGTCGATTCCCAATCGCATCGTACGCTGGTCAGAAGCGTGCCTTAATAGCACAAGCGCCGTGGTTTGCATCGACAAACTCACACCCTCCTCCAGGACCCTCACACGAGGCGCACCGCAGGGAACAGTGTTGGCACCCATCATTTTCGTCGTCGTCATGCAGTCCCGTTGTTCTTGACACTCGAACGTGCCCTACTTCGCCGAGGGTTTATTGCTGATGACCGCACTCCCATCGCACAGCAGAGCAACAGGGATACGATCAACTCGGCCTTAAAAGAAGGCCTGAGTGCCGTGGCGGAGTGGACCAGAGAATACTTCATGGCGGCAAATGCCAGAAAGACTAGTTACACTCTCCTTGGCAGCGGCAACACGGCCCCACTGCGCCTCGCTTATGAGGACGCCCCGGCCGCTATGGAACACATGCCGACTCTTCTGGGCGTCAGGTTCCAGCATCCTCGTGGAATGGGCACACGTGGCGAATCGCCATGAGGAATTGGATCAGCGCCCGCTCCAACTGGCAACGATTTTGTCTTTTGCATGGGAAACTAGGAGAGACACACTGAAGCTGGTGTACATAGCGCTGCCGCGGGCGGAGGCGACGCACGGCGTCAGCGCATGGTGTTGGACGCCTGCCCGACGTCCCGCTGCACGCCGGATCCCGCAAAGTAGCAGGCGAGCAAAATAGTTGCGTGAACCACGAGAGGCAGTAGAGTGGAGGATGCCGTGTTTGAGGCAAAGCTGCAGCCCCTCCCCGATGCGAGGCGCGTGGCGATGCTCTGCGTTTTAGTGCCTCCATCGTCCGCCACCCGCAGCACCCCGCCAGAAAACCGCACGGCTTCGTCATGGCGCTGCGCCCTGCGCTTCGGACAGAAGCTCGCTGCCCGCCCCTCACGGCGACCACCCCCGCGGACCGCAGCTCGAGTCCGTTTTCGCGCCTCCCGCGGTGGTGCCGCCGCAGATGGCCCCGAGGAGGTCCAGCACCAGACTTGTGACCGCTGGCTCGCCCGCCACATCTGACGCACAGGCCTTTCGCCACACCCAGAAGAAAACGCCGCGAAGGATGGACGGGCGGCTTCGTGGAACTCGGCGTCGAGCCAGGAGCAGCGGCGATGCTGTACCTGAATGGAACGCCGATCAACATTGCCGGGGCCGGCGCAGAACGGATACCACGCAGCCGCAGAGCCTAATGCATCGCCCAACACCTTGGTACAAGAAAGCCATTGAGCAGCATGCGGCGGACAGGCAGTGCGCCGTGTATTGTGTCAACCTTCACAGGCTCACGCTCTCTCCTGACTGCGCTCCAGAAACGGGCCCTCTCACGGCATCTGTCCCGATACATCGTTGACACTGGACACTCCTCCGCCCGCCGCGCCGAGTAGCGCGCACACGGTTGCACTTTGTCCTTGGCCACTGCGGCGTGTCCAGGAACGGGGCTTGTGGTGCGAAGTCCGAGAAGGCATCCGACCTCACACAGCTCACAGACACATGGATCACCGGCATCGTCGCATTGACCGAAGGTGTTGTTTGTGCCCGACAGCTCAAGCCAGAGGCTCACCGCTCCACTCTATCAGGCGACTGGGAACCCACGCACACGGACGCCACCCTCACTCGTGGGGAAGGGGCCGCACCGGCCCGCATCCGCACCAGGGTTCTGCACAAATAAGGATGGCTGCTACGGCCACTGCAGCCCGCCATCCCACGCACATGCCGTTGGTGCGGCTCGGATGCCCCACCGCAGGCACGCAAAGAACTTCGCACGGAAACGCCTCCTCCTCCCGCTGGACCCAGCCCGCCACGATCCGACGCCCGGCAGACTGCCCGGTGTGCGGAAGGCACTGCGGCTGCTGCACTGGTGTCGTGACGCACATGGTTAACGCCCATGGCATTACGTGCTCCCAGGCGCTGTGGGAATTCTAATTTCTCCTAGTGAACCGGAACAGTCAGAAATCCCACCGGAATTACCGCCCAGCGCTTGAGCGAGGACGAGAGCGAGAGACGGC